ACGAGATGTCATTGCAAAATTTTTATATCACTATGATTTTTTACATGTCACAATGAGTTGTCACTGTCAGATTTCAATGTCACATACAGATGTTACTGTCACAGTAAAATATGATCGTCAGAAATTGTTCGACGACTTGTCCTAGTGACTTTTCCAACAACACCACGACCGTCTCCCTCTCCAATCCCAACCACGTGCCCCTGACCTAACACCAATGTCCCTCCACCCCGGTCAATTGTTGTCACCATCGCATAAACTCGTGCCGCCACCACTATATTCCGGCTGCCCCCACCCCACCCCACCACCACCATCGTCGCACCACAGTCAATGGCCCACCCTCGCATTAACCGCGTCCCAACCGCGTCGTCACCCAATGCCGCCAGCCACTACCCCCAAACCCAACCCCAACCGGCGTCGCCCAACGCTGCCCCCACTACCCCAGCCCAAACCCTGACCACCTCGGTCCACCATTCCCGCCTCCTAAACCCAAATCTTAGCATATGTTCGTCAATTAACCTAGTCGCCGTCCATTCCCAAACCCTAGCTGTTGTCCCTCGTCGAACCCTAGACGTTGTCCATCACCGAACCCTAACAGCCACTAGAGCTTGCCCAGGGCATGGTTGCCCAGTCCAACCGCACAGGCCCCGTATTTTTGAAGGACCGATTTTTTTTTTAGTATTAGACCCAACCCATTAGCCTTTAGCCCAACATCTACCTTCGCCCCAAACCCCTCTCCGTTAACTCCCGACTTCAGAGTCTCGATTTCATTCATCCGCCCAACGCCACATGCAGCAAGTTCACAATGATACAACCACACCTCCTCGGCTCTGCACACCGCCACAAGCCCACAACCACACCTCCGCACGCCGCCGCCAGTCCACCAACGTCCAGCCATCCAGGCACCACTGCAGTCTGCGGCACTGTGGCACTGCACCTGTGCGACTGTGCATGTCCGCACTCCGCACACTGCTAGGCCACCACGGCGCAGCTGCCCTGCCAGCCGCCTCCGTCACGCTCTTGCCTCCCTGAGTCCGATCAAACCACTGATTTTCAGTTTTTTTATTCATTTAGTTGCTAATTCTTGTGATTTTTTCAATTATTGAATTGATGAATTGTTCATTGAATTATTGTAATTTGTTTATTTTCTGATTTTCTGATTTCATGTTTGTTGAATTGTTGCATTGTGATCATTTGTTGATTTTTTGAAGTTAAAGTAAACCATTATTTGAATTGATAATAAATGTGCAAATGTGTTTAGCAATTAAAATTTAAGAAAGTGGTATAAATATATTATAAGGTAACTTGAGGTCGATAAATTATAATTATACACTAGTATAGTCATTCAAGTTTTCACCCTAATTTTAAATTGAATATTAATTTAAAACTCATATCCATATAATCTAAAATATTCGAAGTGATTGACATTGCAAATTTGGTAGATGACTCTGCATCTAAATATGCTCGAAGAATGTCTCTTTTTAAATAAACTAAAAGTTCTTAATGACTATTTTCATTTCAATCATTACGTTTATTAGTAACTTGTATTTGAGGAAGCGGTCCAGCCCAGCTAGTCGCCGACTCACTCTTCCTTATGGGAGGTCTCACATTTGAAACTCAATGAAGTGAGTCAGGCTAGATTACTCCAGTCCCCCCAACCCCCTGTAGTAAAAAAAAGACAATTTGCTTGTGTTGGAACTTGAAAAATTAAAAGACCCAATTTTTTTTGTTGCACAAGGCCTCCGTTTTCTTAGGACCGGCCCTGATTGCCACCATAGCGGAACCGTAGCCGCCATAGCATTCACATCGAGATCCGTTTTTCGGAGAAGAAGAAAATCGAAATGGAGATAATAACAAACCTGGGGGCGGCACGGCTGGTGGAGGCGAACTATGCTATTTTCGGCGGAGCAACAAGAGTGGAGGCACCAAGATGAAGATTTGGTGAGTGCGTAGATCCGTGAAGTGTAGAACATTCAAACGACATTTCATAAAAAAATATCAAGTCATCAAAGATAACTATATTACACCATAATATAAGATTGTTCAACTATTAGTTATAATATACTACGTATAAGTATTATAATACTTAATTAGTTGATAATATGTACGGTTAGCCAGTCAAGTTAAAAAAGGAATGAAAACATACACGTTAGGCTATTATTATTCAAACATTAAGAGTCCGTTTGGTATCACGAAAATCAGCTGATTCGACTTATTCTGCTGAAATTTATGAAGTTCTGACTGAAGTGGCTACACTGGCTGATTGTAGAAACAATTATTTTTAAAATATTCCAGTACATTTTATTAATAAAATAAAGAAAAAATTATATGTAAAAATAGCTAAATGGTCATCTACAGTAACTTCAGACAATACAACCAGAAAAATAACTCCAACCTTATTTTTTCTTATTATTACACAATTCAGCGTGCGAAACAAAAAATTACGTGTTTGGTGAAAAAGTTGACTAGTAAGCCTCATAAACCGAAAAACAGTGTTACCAAACGACAAATTAGAGACTAGTAAGTCTCTACTTGTTGCCTACCTTTGTTACTTTGACTGTTTTGCTTTTACTTTGACCTAATTAGAGACTTATCAAGTCAAACATATACTTTAAGCTATTATTCAAACCACAAATTATTCTAAATCAGCAAGAGCTTTTATCAACTTTTGAACGTAATGAATGTTTCAAGTGTGTTATTACTTATTAGTGTCTTTTAAGGAGCGTGTTAGTCATCAATTAGTCAATTACACTTCATCCTATGTCCGGGTGTTTCTTATCTAAGGATTTGAATCTGTCTTTCTGGTTCCTCTTATCTACCTTGTTCCTTTTATTCGTCTCTAAAAGTGCCACCTTTTAGGAATGAAGTACGGAGTAATATTTAATGAGCTACAATAGATTGAATATCGACATACCAAACACACTTGGTAATTTAATTGTCGTTAAAAGTTAGTTTTTTTATAGTTAAAAAATACGCACACCATGCAAAGAGTACTAACATGAACAAGCAATAAGCACCGCATGGATCAATAGCTAGCCTTTTGTCGAATATATTGAGCAATTACTCCTTTCATCCCATAAAATAGTTCCCGCATTGACTTGCATCGGAGTTTAAGAAAGTGAGAATAAAGTGGAAATGTATGATTGTGGTTGAGTAAGAAATATGTAAATGAATGATAATCACAAAAAACATTCCAAAAAGAGAAATGAGAACTATTTTTTGGGATGACCAAAAAGGAAACCGGCAGCGGCGGAGCCATACATTAATATAAGAGGTGGCGAAATATAATATGTGTATTAAAATATGAAATATATTAATAATTAATATTACTTCATTCCCAAAAACTTTGCCATTTCAAATAATTTGAAACTTGATTTTGATAGTGGATGTTGTACAAATGGCACAAGGATTAAGATAGTAAATATTGCTGGTGGGAATTATGTAGAGGAGAGAGAAATGTGAAAGAAATGTTGTGAATTACAAATTCTTTTAAAAAATGAAAGTAGAAATTTAATTGGGACGGATAAAAAAAGAATTTGGAAAATAAGTTTGGAACATTTGGAGTATTATTACTTACTTGATAGTTAATACTCCCTATTATTTAATGCTTTTGTTTTAATTGTGGTTCCTCTAATCAGTTGGGCTAAAATTAGCCTGAACTTTTTTCCCTTAACCGTTGCATAATAGTATTGGAAGGGGCCGAAAAATACTATTAATATACTATTAAAAGAAAAAAAAAACTTGGGAGGGGCCATGGCCCCTTTAACCATAGCTATACTTCCGCTTTGAAAACCGGGAACTACTTTGCGGGACGGATTATTAAAAACCTCATGTTCCATATCTAGATTATATGTTCATGTCTCAGATAGCTAGGGATCTTTGGTGGAACAAATGATATTTCAATTCACATAGTGGAGAGATTCTTATTAGAGGAATACGTACGCGACGGGCACAATAATTCTTGATAAGAGGGGAAAAACATACTGATAAAGTGATACATACTCTATACATATTAAAATTTTAGTAATTATATATGGTAACTATTATAAATATATGGTATCACTATTAGCATTATATATTACAAATATTATAGTAAATGGTAATTATTTAGTACTCTTAATTACATTGTAATTGCATCCTTCCTTTTTTTAATTGCAACACTTTCGTTTTCACGTTTTCCAACACACAACTTTGATCATTAATATATTTAATCCTCTAATTATAGTAACAGATAAATATAATAAGAACAACAATATTCATATATAATGTTGTGTTTTTTAGTAACAATAACACATGCATAATGATAATATGACATAATAACTCTATTCGTATTAAATAACAACATTTATAGTTAATTTTTATGCAGTGTAATAATGTTATTATTAATATAACATACAAATACAACAAAGATAACAATAATAATACTATCAAATAACAATAACAACAATAGTGACTATGATGATGATAATAGTAATAAATCATCTTTGAACTTTTGTAGTTTGATTTTAATGTTTCTGATGAGATGTAATCTAGAATTTATATATGATTTGAATAAAATAGAAATAAACCATAAGCAATAAAATTGAGATGAACAAAAGATCAGAACTTCTTAGTCTCAATTGATCAGACCAAATGGGATACTCCGTATAACATGTCAGATAATAATCAAATACACATTATACATACTTTTATCAAATATGTATAGATTTAAATTGAAAATATCAAAAACACTCTAACTCATCCATTGTGAGTGAAATCCTAAAAACGAATGAATAAACGCCCAAAAATGTTAAATGTAACCCAAAATGTACCTCATTTTTATCCCTACCCTCTAATGTGTGGTCATAAATGAGGGCAATTCATTTAAGTGGGGCATCACATAAACGAATTGACTCATTTATAGCCATAGATTAGAGTTGAAATAAAAATGAGGTACATTTTGGTCTACCCCATTTTAAAACTCATAAACGCCATAGTAAGAAAGAAAATAAAATATGGGAAACTTGACCAAAGGCAAACCATACTACTCCTAAATGCCAATATGAGTAATAATAATGCAAGAGCGAGTGTATACTAAAAAAATACTCCGTAATGGAAGAGGGGGCAAACACGGCCTTACTCATCCCAACCAGAGTTGTAACCAGGGTAAGATGGGCCAAGAGGCGCCGCTTGCATTGTCCACCCGGAAACCCGTAACTTGCCCTAAACCTAGCCTCTCCACCGCCTATATAAATCACACTTTTCTTCATCGATTTCCCCATTGCATTCTCTGCCTCCTCATTCATCTCTTTCTCTCATTACTGTTATAACTATCAGATAAGGAAATATGGCAGATGTTGAGTACCGATGCTTCGTCGGTGGTTTGGCATGGGCCACCAACGATGAATCTCTTAGTCAGGCGTTCGCTACCTACAATGTCCTGGATACGAAGGTCTGTTAGTCTCCGAGCAGTAGTCGGATCTCGTTTCGGCCCGATCCGGCTTTGTGACATGATCTCTCTGTTACTTGTTCTTCTACTACTACTCTGTTACTTGACTTGATTCATCTACTCTTCTGTTACTATTTGTTACTAATTCTTTCTCTTGAAACGGTACGTTCATCTTCCTCTTTCTTTTGAGAGGTTAAGATCGATCGCTTTTGTGTTTCACACATGCACTTATGTATTCATATCTATATAGCTATTTGTATTTTTTAAATTTGATTCTGAATTTGTAGATTTAGAGATCTGTGATGCTTATTTTTTCGTTGTTTATGTTGAATGAATCAGATTATTAATGATCGCGAAACAGGCAGATCCAGAGGGTTTGGCTTTGTCACCTTTAAGGATGAGGATTCCATGAAACAGGCCATTAATGACATGAACGGCAGTGAGCTTGATGGACGAAACATCACCGTCAACGAGGCTCAGTCTCGCGGTTCAGGAGGCGGAGGAGGCTATGGTGGTGGTCGCCGTGAGGGAGGCGGTGGAGGTTACGGAGGCGGTGGAGGTGGAGGATACGGAGGCGGTGGAGGTGGAGGTTACGGAGGCGGTCGCCGTGAGGGAGGCTATGGAGGAGGCGGTTCCCGTGATCGTGGGGGTGACCGAGGCTATGGTAGCGGCGGCGGTGGTTATGGCAGCGGCGGCGGCGGCGGCGGTTCGCGTTACTCCAGGGGAGGTGATGGCGACGGGAGCTGGAGGAACTAAGCTACAGATCTAATATCTGATCATTGTTGAAACTTTCTGTTTGATCTGCTAGTTTAGTTGGTGCTGTGTTTTGCCATATCTATCATGGTGTACTTTGAGGTTCTTGTTACTGTTTGCTTGAATTGATTTAATTTGGGGTTCGGTTGTCCCTTGAATCTGTGTTTGCCAAAATCATTATTAACGCACTGAATTGAAATGAAATTGTTGTCTCTGTGTCTTCAGTATCGTTGTATGGTAACTAGTACCGTATAATATTGGATTGAAAATCCATTCATAATTTTCAGTTGCCAATGACAGTTTAATTGGAAAGAATTTTCATAATTAAAATCTACTCTGGTTTGATAGATTTTGCAAACTGAGTATTGAGATAATTCGGTAATGAATACTGTAAAAAAGTTAAGTAAAAGAGTTAAAATATACGGAGTAGAAAAGAGAACGTATCAAAATAAAGAAAATGTAACAAATTTTTAAATACAACCAACAATGTGAAAAATCTTACATTTTCTAAATTTTATGTTACCCACTCTAATGTGTGAGCTTGTTCCTAATTTGTAATAAACTATTCATTGCGAAGTATTTTTATTATAAAATCATACTCCTTTTTTTTCAATTTGTAAGATATATTACGGTTTATAATGTTTGATTGATGATAAATTATATTAAAATTGCTACAAAATCTGCAAAAAATGTATTAAAACCGTTACAAAATCTGAAAAAAATAATCCAAATTAAGAGTGATTTAAGTTTACAAGTGAATAGTAAATGTATCTTATAATTTGGGATTGAGAAAGTATAATTTTTTTAAAAATTTAAAGCAATAGTATTAAAAAATAAATATTTTCACAATATTATACCATCCAAAATGATTTTAGTATTGAGAGAGTTGTAGTACTCCGCAAATTAGGATCGTATATCTGGGTATTTTTGAAATTATTATCAATTATCAATTTCTTTCGGTCCATATATGTGTTGTCCAGATTTCTCCCAGACCATTCCTCATTGGAGATTAGTTCTAGACGTGTCTGCAAGTGATAATAGGGACCTTCATTTGCTAATTTATTTAGGTTGTGATCATGTTAGATATGTTCGATTGACATTTAATATACGTATATGCTTGTGATAATAAGGACCTCTTAAGGACCTCCAGAGCTGTCAGCTCATGCTTAAGAAATGTTTTGTTTTTCTATATCTCATTGTGTAAGTTACGTATGCTCATTTAATATTCGTTTTATGCTCATTTTAAAATGTCACAAATGAAATGAGTTTTATGTTAAATTAAAATGACTATAACGTACAAAATGAATGAGCACACAAAAATGTGTTTTTAAATTTTTTGATACTCATTTCGTAAGTTGTGTATGCTAATTTGGCAGTAATGATATGCTAATTTTAAAATGCCATATCAATAATGCATATTTTGAAATTGTTATACTACATTAAATTCGCAAATGCTCAATAAAATAGGTTAGATACTCATTAAAAGTACATTATTACTCATTTAGCTGAATCCGTTCGTTTTCGTTTAAATTACAAAAATGCCACCAATTTTTTTTGACCTGAATGAGTTACTGGACTGGCTCCCTTACTTGGGCCGAGTGTACGTACACCCGGATGTACCATATAGGCACTGTGTAGTACTCCTTCCGTTCCATATTTATCTTCATAAGTACAATTGGTACACATTAATAAGATAATGAGAAATGTATGATTTAGAGTTGTGCAGAGGAAAAAGAAATGTGTAAACTGTCTGTCTAGCAAGGACAGATACCCTTCTTTGTCAGGACTGGGGTGCTCTGTTGGAGTTGTCACCCTATTCTGTTCAGGAGATGCAACAGAGGTGGGGATCTCTGGTTCCCCCTGAATGTCTGCCACTTCCTCAGACACTGTGACCACAGGTTTAGCAACCTTCTTCTTGGTCTTTGTGATCCTCTTCCTCTTCTGTCCAGCCTTCATGGTTGGAGGAGCAACCAGTTCTACTTTCTTGGTCTTCTTCTTCTTCCTCTTTTCAACAGAAGGGGCTTCAGAGAGGGGTCTCTGCACCTTCTCTCCTTGTCTTTTAATATCAAGTTGAAACTGTCTCTTCAGCTCTGCCTTTATAGCTTTTTCCCTGTTTGGAGAGGCAGACAGGAAGATTACCTTGGTGTGATCCAAAGGTGTGGCTTTCCTCAAGGTTACACCTTGTTTGAGGAGCAGTTCTGAGATGAGCAGTCCATGCCCTAACTTCCCAGAGTAAAGACTTGTCTTGGGGTTCTTCTTCTTGATAAACTCAATCAGGGACTTTACCATAACTTGTCCCCAGTTGATGTTTACCCCATGATGTACTGCATAGAGGGCCTTGGCATTTGCAGTTGTGACATCATCGGTGGAGGTATACTTGCACCATAAACATTTGTGGAAAATGTTAATGAGCAGCTCAAATTCCTTCTTGAGCATGTTCTTTTTGATATTCACCTTCTCCACTTCCTCTCCTTTTCTGCAAAATTTCCTCTTGAATTCAGGTACAGGGATGTCAGTTTCCTCCAAATCAAATAGAGAGGCCCTGCCTTCCTCTAGTTGAATATTGAAGACCTTGTTGATGACGTCAGCATCAACCAGAACTTCTTCTCCTTGGACGATGGAGGAGATGGTTTCATCCTTGAAGGATGCGTTGAGATAGAACTCAACAGTGTCGATGTTACTGTAGGCCTCATAAGCATGAGTGATGACCTTGCCCATGTTACTCAGCTTCAGCTGTACTTGTTGAGATAGAGTTCTGCTTCTTGCTAAACCAGGAAACAAGCCTTCCTCCTAGCAATTGGCAGTGACCAGAGGTGCTCTTTCTGTCTAGTCTGCAACCTGCAAAATCTGAGTAAGAGTAACCAATTAGTTCAAAGTTACCTCCCTTGGGATACCATAGGCCTGCATTTGGATTTCCTTTGATATATCTGATGATTCTTTTTGGAGCACTTAGATGGCTTTCCTTGGGCTTTGATTGATATCTGGCACAGATTCCAACAGAGAATGCTATGTCTGGTCTGCTTGCAGTCAGGTACAACAGAGATCCTATGATTCCTCTGTATGTTGTTGCATCCACATCCTTTCCTTCATCATCTGGACCAATTCCTTGTGAAGTGTTCATGGGAATCTTCACTGAGGATTTGCCTTCCACTCCAAACTTCTTGATCAGGTCCCTGGTATACTTCCCTTGATTGATAAAGATTCCTTCTGGAACTTGTTTGACTTGAAGTCCTAGGAAGTAGCTGAGTTCTCCCATCATACTCATTTCAAATTGACTCTGCATTACTTGAGAAAATTTCTTGCATAATTCTGGGTTAGTGCTACCAAATATAATGTCATCAACATATATTTGTACCAACATAATATGATTAGCAACAGAGATTTGAAATAAAGTTTTGTCAACCTTTCCTTTAGTAAACCCATGGTTCACTAGGAAAAGGGACAATGTGTCATACCATGCTCTGGGAGCTTGCTTAAGACCATATAAGGCCTTTTTAAGCTTGTAGACACAAGAGGATTGAGTAGGAATGACAAAACCTGGTGGTTGTTCCACATAAACTTCTTCTTCAAGATCTCCATTTAGAAATGCACTCTTGACATCCATCTGGTAGACCTTGATGTTGTTGTAAGCAGCATAAGCTAGAAAGATTCTGATGGCTTCAAGTCTGGCAACTGGTGCAAAGGTCTCATCAAAATCTATTCCTTCTTCTTGGCAATAACCTTTAGCTACCAGCCTTGCTTTATTCCTTACAATGTTGCCATCATCATCAGCCTTGTTCTTGAACACCCATTTGGTTCCAATGACATTCTGGTGCTTTGGCCTAGGAACAAGTTCCCATACTTTGTTCCTTTCAAACTGAGTAAGCTCTTCTTGCATTGCATTGATCCAATCTGAGTCTGCAAGAGCTTCTTCCACAATCATAGGTTCCATTTGAGATATATAGCAGGCAAGCATTGCTTCTCTTCTTGATGTGGATCTGGTTTGAACTCCACTTCTGATTTGACCAATCACTTGGTCAGGGGGATGATCTCTTAACCATGTTAGGTCAGGTTCTGTCAGCTGCTGTCTTGGTCTCTCTGGTTCCTCATCTTCAGAGTCTTCATCTTCATTTAACAGAAGGGGGTTTGGTGCAGGTGTTGGAAATGCAGGGTTGTCTGCTACCTCTTCTGTTGGTTCTGGTGTTCTGTCTTCTATGCTGACTTCCTTGAGGATCTCTGTTACCTCTTTAACAGAGATGCTTTCATCAAACTTCACATGTATAGATTCTTCAACATGTAGGGTCCTTCTGCTGAGTACTCTATAGGCTTTACTGGTGTTTGAATAACCTATAAAGATTCCTTCATCAGCCTTTTCTTGAAAGACTTTCAGATGCTCATTTCCATTGTTAAGAATGTAGCACTTGCATCCGAATACATGAAAGTAGCTGATGTTGGGTTTTCTTCCTTTCCAAAGTTCATAAGGGGTCTTCTGGTGAATCTTGTTGATCATGCTTCTGTTCTGAGTATAGCATGCAGTGTTGATTGCTTCAGCCCAATATCTCATAGGTAGTCCAGATTCTGCAATCATTGTTCTTACAGCTTCTTTCAAGGTCCTGTTCCTTCTTTCTGCTACGCCATTCTGTTGAGGGGTTTTGGCAGCAGAGAGTTGATGAAAAGTTCCATTCTGATCACAGAAGTCCTTTATGACTTGGTTGACAAATTCAGTTCCTCTGTCTGACCTGATTGTCTTAACCTTCAAGTTCTTCTCAGTCTGAAGTTGCTTTAACAGAGATGGCAACTTCTGAAGAGT